AACTGACTGGAAGAGATCTATATTTGTTCCTATCCCAAAGAAAGGTGACCCAACCGAATGTGGAAACTACAGAACAATCTCACTGATTTCACATGCAAGAATAAACAAATAGTGCCAGTAATCCTCAAATGTTAATTTTACCATACTTATAGATTGATTTTCTTTGACTATCTTACAGAACTCTGGAGCCAACTCAAAGACAGGCAGCTTAAGTGCATCAGCTGCTCTGTGAGAGGAAGATGGACAGTCACTTCTCTTGCAATTCACAGCCTCTGAAAAGCCCCTGGAGTGTCAGTTTGGAATTGGTTTTGACTTAAGAGCAAGGATTTTGGGGCTTTGTTGTAGTTTTGGGCTTTTTTAATCCTATGTTGTTTTCATTTCCACATTACATTTGCTTATATATGCTAAAGATTTTCTTTTGTTTCTCTCTAAATCCTGTATCAAATAAAAAATAAAACAATATGTCATAATATTCTTAAAATAAAAATGGGAAAATATTATAGGCTTGCTACCTAATAGGAGTATTTTCCCTTTGTCTTATATACTAGCATGATCTCACCAAATTTAGGTTTTCCTATCCCCATTTATAGGGAATTCTGGTGGCCCGGTCCCTAAGGAGTTACACTACTAGCATGTGTCTTTCGATAAGTCTGGCTTCATCAATGACTCCTCAAGAGAAAGACAATCTCTTCCCTTGTGATTTGCAGCCTCAGGAACCCAATGGAGGGTCAGCTCTGAGTCTGTTCTTTCACAACAGCACTAAGGTTACCGATACAGACATGAGGTCACAGAGGCTAAGTTATGAACCAGACCAGGAGCCAGTTTGTTGCAATAGGAATAGGGTCAAATGTCAGGTTTCCTCTTTACCAAAGACTAAAGAAAAGCTTTACATATCATTTTATAGGATTGGGGAGAAAATAATAGGCTTTAAAATCCAATTTTTTATTTCTATCAGTATTCTTTATTTTACCATAGAATTAATCATTGTCTATCTATTTTAAGTGTAACTAATTTTACTTACAAAAATTCCCAACATTCAAAAAATGTTGTAAGAATAAGTGATAAATGTTCACATCTTTAGCATCTTTTTGAGTATTCTTAGAACAGTTGAGAGATGCAGTAAGGAATAAACAAGCACTCCTATACTACCTTTAGCAGAGATCTTCCTTGTAATGTTCCTATTACTATCAAGGTATTGAATTGTATGAATAGCATTTCAAACCCTTCCTGTCCTTCTGTATAAGCCTATAATGTGGAAAAAGAAATAACGCAATTCCCAAACAAGGGGGAGGATATTTATTTCTAACCATGTTGCTGTTGTTATGTGCTGTCAGATTGCCTGCAACTCATAGCCACCCTGTGTAAAACAACTCTAAATTCGGCTTTGTCCCGTGCCAATCTCACCATCTCCGATACACCTGCCCCCATTGCCCCAGTCACTGAATCAATCCATCTCATAGAGGGCCTTCCTCTCCTGCGCTGTCCCTCCACCCTCCAAGCATGATGTCCCTCTCCAAGGACTGGTCTCTCCTTGGAACATGTCCAAAGTATGTCAGAGGAAGCCTCAGAATCCTTGACTCCAAGGTGCCATCCGGCTTCACCCTCTCTAGAGCAAACCTGATCATTTTCTTAGCAGCCCATGGTATATTCAATACTCTTCTCCAACACAGCTCAAAGGCATCAATTCTCCTCCTACCATCCTAGTCATTGTCCCCCTCTCTGATTCATAGCAAGTGACTGTAAAGACCATGGCCTGTATCAGGCACACCCTAATCTCCAGACTGACATTGTTGCACTTCAGTACTTTAGTGAGGTCTCTAAATACAGACTTTCCCATCACAATGCGTCTTTTAATTGTCTGGCTGCTGGTGCCAAGAGTGTTGTCTGTGGAGACAAGCAAACCAAAACTGTGAACAATCTCAATCTCTTCATCATCCATTATGATGCTGCCAATTGGTGAGAATCTTTGTTTTCTTGATATTGAGCCTCAATCCATACTGAAGACTGTAGTCCCTGACCTTCCACAGATAGGGGTCGTTAAAATATCTCTGAGTTACA